CAAAGTTGACTGTATCTGTTTTATTCATAAAATTAAAACAGATGTGTGTATACTAGAAAAATGATAACACATAGGCATATGCTAACATAAATATAGTAAATTACCATCCTCATCCACTTACTGCCCCCCCCCACAATAAACATTGTGTTCCCTTTAAGTGCTAACAAATTCATTTTGGTTCTATAAATTTCAGAACTCTTTAAACAAATTATTAGGGTGGTTCACAAAGATCCTAGAAGACTACTATAATATTATATCTGTAGACGAAGTTCCAAAAATTCTGTAATAAACCCTATTGATTGTGACCAAGAGAAAGTATCTTTGGAAAAAAGGTAAATTAAGATGCTCAACTAAAAACTGCACCTAATAATACTGAACATAATCTTATGAACATAATACTGATAGATGTTCTTTTTCGTACATATATGACATTGTCAACCCAAGTAAATTAACATAGCTACAAAATAGGGTCCCTGTTCAAACTTTTTTCTCCCTATGTAAATAGAAGTTATTTTGGGGGGCCTATACAGAATTGATATCCCCTTTCCCAACATTATCTAACATCCCTGAAATGTCAGCAAATGTGAGGAATGGTGATCCACTAAATTAGAGAATTAGAAAAGATTAAGTTAAAGAAGGTTTTTATGTCATACTAAGGGCTTCTAAATTTCTCCTATAAGCAATAGTAAACCACTGAAAGATTTCAAAAACAGAAATTACAGGATTGTACTTCTGAATTATAAAGATCCTGATGACAGTACTGAAGATGTGAGATGAGACTGGAAACAGAGCTAACAATTAGGAGATAATTACGAGTACTTAAAAAAGAGAAGACTTAGAAGGTAATTTGACAGTAAACTGAAATGCATATATCCAGCAATTTCATTTCTAGATACAAACTCAGAGAAATAACCCCTGCACAAGGACATTGCTCTATAATGTTCACTATGCTGTTATTTGCAATATAAAAAAAGGTAAAAACTTCAATGACAATAGAGGAAGAAATAAATATAGTTGGAATACCACACAATAATTAAAAGGAATTAATTAGATCTATGTATATCATGGCTAGATTTCAAAAATAAAAGGAATAAAAAAATTAAGTTGCAGACAAATGTATACTGCATTATATTACTTATATAAATTAAAACACATAAAACAGCCTTATGTATTTTCTGTTTCCCTACAATGGCTACATTCCTTGAGTACTTTCTCAGGGAACAGTGCCAGGTACTATTCTAAGCACTTTGGATTAACTCATTTATTCCTCACAACATCCTTATGCCATAGGCACTATTACTATCCCATTTTACAGATGGGGAAACTGAGGCAGGGAGTTTCAGTATCTTCTCAAAGGCTTACAGATAAGAAGTGACAAAGCCAGGATTCAAACTGAGGCAGTCTGGTCCAAAATAAAAAAGCAAAACTGTAAAGATTTCATGCCAAATTCCAAAGGATTGGATTCTGGACAAGGGGGTTGGTATAAGGGTACAGGAGTGGAGCCAGAGAGAGACTTTAGTTATATCTGAAATATTTTTTAAGGATGTATTGAAATAATTTTTAAACAATGTGTTCAATTTTTTCCCATAAAAAATGTAAACGTATAAAAAAAGTCTCGGGCTAGGGGGAAAGATGTTAACGTGCCATGCTATCCATGGCTGAGTATGGATGATGGAAATGGGGGGACTGTTCTTACAACTTCTTTGTAGTTTTCAGTATCTTTCAACTTTTAAAAAAGGCAACATTGTATGCACAACGATTTTCTTTCAGTTAATGTTTTAACTCACAAACAGTACCTTATAAATCTAAACCTTTCTCAACTTTGGCACTCGTGACATTTTGCGCTGGATAACCATTACAGGGTGTCTTGTGCATTGTAGGATGTTTGGCAGCGTCCCTGGTCTGTACCCACTAAAAACCAGAAGCACCCCCTTCCCCAAGTTGTGAAAACCAAAAATATCAAGACGTTGTCAAAGGTCCCCTGGGTGGCAAGCCGCCCCCTCTGGAAAACACCTTCGTTAATAAAACGAAAGAAGCTTTTCGTCGTTTAATTTTATGTAACTATTTGAGTTTAAAGATTTCAAAGATATTTTCATTGTTAAGCATCTCACACTCCAAGTGCGAAGGATGCTGAAGGGACGAAGAAAGTTTCAAGCGAAATAATCCACGAATATAGCACTTAAAATCCAATTATCATTCCACAGAATGACAGAACCAGGCCCCGGGACGCCCGCTTCCTTCTCGCTCTCTCGCAATACGGGGACAGGTGAGCAGATCCAGCCCCGCGGCCCCCTCCGCGAAGGCCCGGAAAGGGAAGAGTCGCCGGCCCTAGCTTACCTCAGCGCAGCCGCCACGTTCCGGACACCGCACGCAGCTGCAGAGTCCCGCGACTCCAAACCTCCCGCCAGCGCGCTGCATCCTGGGAAGCACGGGCTGGAGGCTGCGTCCAGTGCATAGGAGGCGGAGCATACGGAGCCTGCAAGGAGAAGGTTCCGCGGGAGGCTGAGGAGGCGGGGCTCCGGGGAGTGTTGTGAAAGCGAATAGCCGGCTAGATCTTTAGGGCGGAGTTCGTCGGGGGAAGCGCCGGCCATCTCTGGGCTGGCGGGGGCGGGACCGCAGTGCGGGGGATGTCGGGCGGCGGGGCCAGAACGAGAAGCGAATGGGACCCCGGCTGGGGGCCTCATCCCGCCTCCAGACCCAGGCGGCCGCACCCGATTGGGCAGTGCGGTGGCACTTCCGTCCGCCTTCCGGTGTCACGCGACTGCCTCCCCCTCCCGCCCTTTCTACCTCTGGGCGGGACCGGCGGGTGATGAGATACTCGGGCGGCGACAGTGGAAGGGGCGACGGCAACGGCACCTGCAATCACATCCACGACCGTGACCATGGCCGAGGTGAGGAGCTGACTGCACCGCCGCTGGCCCCTCAGGACCCGGAAACGGCCTCTGAGGCCCGGGGGCCGCGCGCCCAGGTGCAGGTGGGCTGGGCTGAGGGGTAAGCCGGATGCTGAGAGTAGTATCTAAGGTCCCGTCGTGTCTCCCATCTAGAATCACCCCCAGAATAAAGCCAAGCTCATCTCTGAGACCCGACGGAGGTTCGAAGCTGAGTATATAACAGGTGGGTACCGCGTTCTCGGGGTTAAGGAAGGTATGCAGTAAGCATCTCCAACTTTGTTGGGGTGTTTGTGAGTGTCTCTGTGGGAGGTGTTAGGAACCCTTTCGGCTCTCACGAAAATGATGTTCTGCACGTTTTAAAGGTTTTCCTTTCCATAACAAGCCGTATACGCTGTTCCAAGTGGGCAGGTGGTGCGTCCGTGCTTCCTTTAAAGGGTTAATGTAAGTTGGAAGTCATTGAGTTTCTAGCATCTCCTCTCATTTATGGAACTTGCAGGACACTTACTAGGCCCATGACACAGGTTACACTGCCCCGTCCACGGTTCCTCTGATGGCCTTTCACCAGCAACACTTGAGAAAATTAACCTGGAAACTGCCATAATACTACTGACATGTACTTGACTGGGTGTTCAAATTCTTTGGTTGTTTTGCTTGGTTCAAACTCATACAACCCAGCATGCTCCCTACAGAGTAGGCCCTCCAGTGCTGGAACAAGTTACCTTTTCATTTCACACTGTAGCTTGCAAAGTACCTAATAAGTCCAGAATTGGTTTATTGGTTGAACATTCTGTGTCCAGATATCACAGGTACTTATCAGGTTCTTAACTGCTGATTTAATACTTTCACAGTAATTTTTAAAAACATACAGGATAATGTAAATATGGAATTAAATAAAGATCTGTATTTTGCCTACCTTAAGACTGATTCTAATCTTGGCATTGCCATTAAATAGCTTACTTGTCTATTCTGAGGCCCTGTTGCCATATCTGTGAAATGCAAATAATAAGATTAGGAAGATTAAATGAAAAAGCGTATATCAAACTGTCTAGCATGGGCTTAACATATAGTAGGCTCTCAACGAATATTTTGCTTCCATCATCATTTTGGTTGCTGTGAAAGGAGTTAAGCTTCCACATCTTGACTTTAGTGCTCAGCAGAGGTTCCTTGCAACTTTAAACTGTCCTAGATTATACATCCAGTTGATGACCTAGAACAAATAAGGAAATCTGTTCCAAATAACCTGATCAGTAAATCTTTTCATGCCTCCTTGCCAATTTTCTTCACACCCCTAACTTTGCACCAGAGAGTTGCAAAAGCACTTGATTGACTTTTAGCCCAGAGATCTCATTTCTAATAACGTACCACAGCTGGTTCCAGTAAAAAGATAGTTCTAAAATTGCTTTCTATAGAAATGTAACTGTTATCATTACATGGTTTATAATATTTTAAAAAGTAGCTCAAAATTAGACCTAGTGAGCTAGTAACTCCCCAATCATCATTTATTTATGCCCAAGGGAGGAAGCAGAATATAGGCAGAAATTTAGCAATAGATCTTGGTTCAGCCTTCTCATTTTTAAAATGAAGAAAGTGAGGTCTAGAGAGATTAAGTGATTTGCTCAAAATCCCTGGTGTTAGGGGCTAGGCCAGGGCTGGTGCTCATATCTTCCAAATTTCACTATAGTAATCTTTTAGGAACACCGTGATGTCTAATTAGATCAGGTCACTCCCCAGCTTAAAACTCTTCAGTGCCTTCCCACTGCACTTAGAATAAAATCCCAGTTCTTTGGGGTGGCCTATAATGCAAGGTCTGGCTCTTGCCTACCCCTCCATCCTCATCTATCACAACTCTCCTTCCTTAGTACAGATTTGACCACTGCCCAAAGTAAAAAACATACTATACGTTGCAACCCAGTACACACGTGCACACTCACATAGCTGAAGCAAAAGTTCTTTAAAGAATACTTGTTCTGAAAACATGTGACTGATGTTTTTTCTATTTTACTTTCTTTTAAAAAATACAATGACCCACAAAATTGACATCATAATTAAAACATGACTCACAGTTTGTAAAACGTGACTAGCCACACACTACCTTGTTTGCATTCCTCAAACAGAATGAGTCTTTCCATCTTGGACCTTTCTACTTCTCTCTGGCTGGAAAGCTTTTTCCTGGGTAATATGCATGGCTTGGTCCATTTTTTTTCTTTTCAAGGTTTAAGTGTATCCGAGAGGCACTGACTGATTATTAAATAGCCTCTCTGTCTTGTTTATTTTCTCTCCTTTACAGCTCTTATTGTAATCTGTAATCATCTTGTTTATTTGTTTATTGTTCATTTCCTCCAGTAGTATGTACATGGGTTCTGTAGCAACCTGTAGACATTGACCGTAGAGGTCTTGTGTGTCTTACCTCTGTATACCTAGCCCAGTTCTCAGTACACACTAATTGAATGAATATAGCAATACTTAAATATATACATAGGAAGATTAGTCCAATTCTGTATTAAGAACTGTCCTAACCGATTACTCCCCCCCATCCCCACCAAAATCTGGCAAAGAGAAGCCCTCAGAATATGTCTCATAAAGACAGGCATTATTCCAAAGAAATGCACTATATGGTGCTAAGTATAGGAAGGGTTTTGTTTTTAATTATACACACAGGTATGTGTGCATATATGTGTGTGGGTTATCTGCACAGCAGTTGTAAATATCATTTAAGGACTTGCATGGGAAAGGAAAATAGAAACCTTTAAAGACTTTCTCACCTTAAAGTTTCAGTTGTTTCCTGAAATATAGCATCAGATAAAGGTAGAGTTGGAAAGTGATAAAAAGGTTTTTATAATTTGCCTGTGTTCCCCTTTTGAGTTTGCTTTTAGAAATTAACTCAGTTGTTTAGAACATCCACTTTCCTTCTTTCTTTGTCTTTCACCCTTTCTATTTTCATTAGCAATATTTCGTTTCAGAAGAGGCTTAAAGCAGACTTAAGCAAACCTGATGTTTTCCCTAAAGGAAAATATTTATTATCTTCAAGTATATCATTTCAAGCACTAACTGTACTTCAGAAGTGCTTTTGGGGGTGAGTTCTTGGCGATTCCAAGCACATTATTGTGTCTGTGGAAATTAAGTTACCAATTATGGATAGATTTTCAGCTAGCAAAAAGAATAAAAGTCCATAATTATGGTACTTTTTTTTCCTCATTGTTTCTGTGAGAAATTCCACACTGAGCCTCAAATGAGAAACATTTCCCGTTCTTTCTTCCTCTTTCTTGCACCCAAGAGAAGAGACTAATCTCTTGTGACAATAATTTATTCAGTTCCTCAAGTACTCATTATCTGCTTAATTCTAGGGAGCAGTGTGTCAGTATTCAAGAAAGAGCTAAAGGATAGAGCCCCTTCCCAAAGTACTATAATATAGTGGAGGCATTAAAACAGAGGTAACTATTAAAATTAAGGCAAATTTTATTAAGCGTAATAGTGCTAAAATATTGTCTGTAAGAGTCAAAGACAAAGAGAAAGAATATCTAGTTGGGGTGATGGTAAAAAACTTCATAGGAAAGGTGGTGTTTCTTGTGAACTTTGGAAGATGGTAGAACTCAGATAGAGAAAGTGGTCAAGGTAGATCAAATAGTCTGAGCTAAGGCACTGAGGTGAGAAGGTTTGGGGCATGGTGGGGAAGCATTAGGAAGTCCACTATTATAAACCCTGAGCAGGGTAAGCACACGTGGGTAAAAACTGGGAATGTAAGGTAGAGAGCCTTGGAGCCTTGGACACCAAAGTAATATGTTTGTACTTGAGTGAGTATGGAGAGCCATTGAGAGGTTTGTGGGGTATGTTATTTTAGGTTTCTTGTCTGGCTTTGTAAGTATATGAATTCATTTAAATGAATTTTGTTCATACCAAAAAGGTCTGAAGAGGCCGGGCGCAGTGGCTCATGCCTGTAATCCTAGCACTCTGGGAGGCCAAGGCGGGCGGATCGTTTGAGCTCAGGAGTTCAAAACCAGCCTGAGCAAGAACAAGACCCCTTCTCTACTAAAAATAGAAAGAAATTAATCGGACAACTAAAAATACATAGAAAAAATTAGCCAGGCACGGTGGTGCATGCCTGTAGTCCCAGCTACTCGGGAGGCTGAGACAGAAGGATCACTTGAGTCCAGGAGTTTGAGGTTGCTGTGAGCTAGGCTGACCCCATGGCACTCACTCTAGCCCGGGCAACAGAGTGAGACTCTGTCTCAAAAAAAAAAAAAAAAAAAAAAAATAAGGTCTGAAGAAATCCCCATAAGCTCGCCATCCAGAGATATGTCTACCAACAGTGGATACATTTTTCCAGTCTTTTTTCTTATACATATAAGAAAGCAAATTTAAAAGACCACTCTGTATATAATTTTGCGTGTTACGATTTTATTGATATCATCTAATTTCCCCATATTTATGAGGTAAGCAACATTGTATATTACCATTTAATGTTCAGTTATATAAATAAAAAGTAGTTTTCTTCTTTTATCTTAGTCCCTTTTTGGACACTTAAATTCTTTCCAGTTGTCTGTTAATACAGTTTTTTGTGCGATAGTTCAGATTATTTCCTTAAGATTCATGTTTAGAAATCAAATTATTGTTTTCAAGAGTATAAATATTTTTCAGACATTTGACAATGTGTGCTAAACTTCCTCCCTAGCAGTTGCACCAATACTTATTCCTGCTAGCCTGAAAGAGAGTGTTAGTCTCACTACACCTTTACCCATATTTAGTGTCATTATTTCTTAATTGATGGTTCTTTGTTTTAGTTTGCATTTGATTACTAATAATGGTAAACTTATTTTCATATGTTTACTTCCATTTGTAATTTAAACATTTTTTCTATTGGTATAGGCTTTTCTTGTTTATGTCACTTTAACTGTTTTTTCAGTGTTTGAATATATTCAAAATTACACATTCCTTTGTGGTTTCTTCTATTATTAAATTAATTTTCCCACACTTAATGACTTTTTCTAGTCATTTAATTTTTGTTTTGGTTTGTTATTTTTTAATTTTTAATTTTGAAATTTTGTTTATGTATAGAATGTATAAAACATGAACAAAATAAACACCCATGTACTCACCACTCAGTCAAAGAACTAGAACCATCCAATACCTTAGAAGCCTCCCTGAGTACCCTCAGCCCTGCCATTCAGGAGACAGTTAACTTTTCCTGCATTTTGTCTTACTCATTCACTTACTTTTTTTTTTTTT